TGGTCACTTAACTTTTTGCAAGCTGGCCTTGGCAGTCGCCTCGGCTGTCCTCTGAACGACCTCAGCAGGTCTGCTGACCGCTGGCCACATCTGCCCTGACGACTGACAGAAGGAAAACTCCAATCTGGAGACAGAACCCTTGAAAAAGATGTGACTTCTCAAAGGGCCACAGTGTGTAAGGCAGATCTTTAGCTCCGAAACTTTTTGTGCTTCAACATTTAAAATGAAAGAAAATGTGTATGTAAATATCAGTGATAAAATTCCTTGTCAATGATCTCCTAAATCCTCTGAAATCCAGGAATCGAGACGCCCATTTGGCAATTAATTCCCAATGTGGGAACATTCTACAGAAATTCTGTCACCCGTTTGGAGTGGTCAGTCTCCTAAATAACCAAAACCTCAGGGAGCCCAAACTGCTTCAGAAAAACAGAAATTATCGTTTGTGTAAACACACTGAATATCAAAGCTCCCTGGCATGTCTTCAGAAGCTATGAAATTAAATTAACACCTTCAGGAAAAGAACCGAGTGAGTGTGTGCACACTCGGAGACACGTGCTTTAAGAGCCATCCCCTAGCTCAGCTACGAAAGCACAAAAAAAAAAAAAAAAAAAAAAGAGCCATCCCCAAATATGCCACCCTTCACAGACTCTGTCAACATTTCTACAACACGTGGCAATAACATTTTTTAAACATTTTAAAACACTCAGCTTTTAAAAAGTGAATGAGGCCACTTTATTCAGTGAAAAATAGAGGGATAATTTAGAAAGCAGAATATACTAATAATTGTCCAGGTTGGAATATAACCCAGGCATGGGTTTCTCACTGCCTCTCCCCATGGGTGTCGGTCTCCAAAGAGGCCCCGACAGACCTCCCTTCCCTCCAGGCACATGCTCGGGGCATGGAGCGGCTCTGTGCTCCTTCAACTCTGGCTGGTCTTGTGACTTGCTTTGCTCAACAGAATGAGGCAAAAGTAACACTCTTGGCCTCTCAAGCCTAGGTCTTAAGAGGCCTGGCAGCTTCTACTTCCTCTCTTGGAAGCCAGCCACACGTGAAAAGTGTGGCTACCCACCTGAGAAGAGAGGCCTCCTGGACAGAGGCCTGAAGCCATCTTGGAAAGTTGGGTCCAGCTGAAATCCCAGCTGGGTGCAGCTGCATGATAGAGCCCAGGGTAGGACAGCAGACGAACCCCAGCCATCCTGCTGCATTGTTAGAAACAATAAGTTGATGCTGTCTTAGGCAACTACTTTTGGGGTCATTCGTGATGCAGTAATAGATCACTGAAACAATGGGTGACAAATGGTTAAAAAGCGAGCCAGTCTATCATCAACCATCTGCAACCATCTGTGATCATCTTGGGGTTCTGTAAATCTCTCTCCGCAAACTAATTTAAGTGGAGAAACCCAGACAGGACCTTATCTTGTCACATTTAAACTCTAGCATTCGGTAACATCTAGAATGCCGGTACAGTCTTGACACTGGATTCTGGCAATTCTACCCCAGAACCCTACAGGGCCAGAAAAAGTATCTCATTGATTGGTGAAGCTCTCTCCCCATTGTATTCCTGCCTTATTCAATACAATAATACAATCCTGCAAATATTTATGTCAGAAAGATTAGCAAGATGGTGAATGCAGGAGTAAATAAAACTTCAATATGAATACTTCGAGGATGAAGAAAATTTAGCCTTAACTGCACTTTATGGCACAGACTACATAGAGCCACAGAGATACAGAGACCAGGCAGCTCGGGGTAGACTGATTATTAGACCCCCCTCCTGCATCCAGACCCATGCTATGAATGCACTGTGGTCGGAGTGTACTTTGTTGCCTCCTGACTTGGGGCTTACTAGTGTGACCTGCTTTGCCAGAGAAATGTGGGTACAAGTGACAGTGTGATAGTGTACCCGCTCTAAGTCCAAGTTTAAGAGGTATCAAATGTACTGCTTGCACTCTTGCCCTTCTGCAGAAAAAGTGTGTGTCATGCCCCTACTGGCTCAGTGATCCCAGGAGGAAGATGAGAGATACTTAGCAGTGCCAACTCAGCTGACCTACCAACTCATGATCAAGAAAGAAATGCTTATTGTGGAATGCCACAGAGATCTTGAAGTTGTCTACTACCCAGCAAGAGTTGACTAACACAAGGCTCCTTTATCAGATGCTAACATTTACAAAACACACATGGTACTTTAGAACAATAGTCTTCCTGGCTATACAAGTTGTAACTAAACTAGGAAATGGATGGTTAGGTGGTCTCATTGGCAAGCAGAATATATGTACAATATATTGAATAGTATCAAATCTTGCTCTCACAATCTAAGATTATCTTCTAAAGATTGGAATTTGGTATTCAAAATTCTCTATAATTTAACCCTAACTTAGTTTTATAGCCAATTCTCTCTCACTTCTATTTTTTGTATTTCATTTAAGTTGGATTATTTATAATTCTTGAATAGGTCTTACATTATCTATCCTTTCCTTATCCAGTTCCTTCCTGCAGCCTTAATCTGACAGGTTTAGATTCTTCTGGTACTTTCAGGCCAGGTTCATCTCTGATGTCATCTCTGTATGAAATCTGCTCTGATGCTGCCTTTTAGGGCAGACTGTCCATGCCCTGACTCTTATCATGATGTATGTCTTTTCCTTTTATAGGATTTGACTTATTCTGCCTAGTAACACTTCCTGCCCTCTTACAAAGTCCTAGACAGCAAGGTTTAAGGATTAGTTACCTCTGTAATCTCATGACATTTAGCAAAAGACTTCACGCATAGTACACAGACCAATCAATACTTTTTTGCTTTAAAAATCGGGTGGCCAATGGGAGGCAGCAGGGCACTGGGAAACCACATGGAGAGAGAAAGGTGGACTCTGGAGTCTTAGCGATCCAGATTCTATCACCTTGCAGCTGGGCAGCCTTGGACCAGTTAGTATCTCTGTGCTTCAGATTCCAAATATGTAAAACTGGGATGGCGCACATTTCACAGGATTGTTGTGAAAATTCAGCATGAAAATGAACGTAAATGCCACACGATGTTGGACATATGGTGGCGGCTCCATAAATGGCAACTCTATTATAAAAATAACAATGACACAGAACATCACACAGAAGTTAGTTTAAACAAATCCCTGATGTTAGATTATTTTTTCCTAAAAGTGAAGCATTTGAGGGTGACAGTAATGACTCTAGTTCCAGTTAGCTCTTATCCCAGAAACTGTGGTTTCAACAATCTGGACTCTAGTTTTATTGAGATGTTCATATAGATGTTATTCTTCTCCATGGTTCTCAGTGCTATAGGTAGTCACCATAGAAGCGGATGTGTTCCAGGCAACAAATGCATCCCCTCAAAACAGGATATAACAAAATCTTCTTCCCATGCATACTAATCCCCTTTTAATAGAACATTCATTAGCTATTTCATAGCATTCCTAATTCTCCACCGGGGACTAAAGCAACCATTACAATGGACCAAAAGCTAGAGATTCTGAAAGCAGTGGGATTATTTGACAGTGACTGAATGGTGCAGCTGCAGTTATTTACATGTAAACATTATCTCAATGAGGTTTCTTACAGAGTAAGAGAAGAAGAGACGTTTTTATAAATAAAAGTGTCATGCAAATGTCAAGTAGTAGGTATTATTGTTAAAGTAATTTCAGCAAAAATTGCTTCACCTGCCTTGTACTAACTGAAATTTTGCTCACATATCCACACTTCATCAGAGCAACAGTTCATCATCTAAGGCTACAGCCCCCAAACCCCAGACTGCAGACCAATACCGGTCCATGGCCTTTTAAGGACTCAGGAATCAGGCCACAGAGCTCTGCTGTTCTCTACCTCCCACCCCCAGTCCATGGAGAAATTGTCTTCCATGAAACTGGTCGTCCCTGATGTCAAAAAGGTTGGGGACCGCTGGCCTAAGGTACCAACTTGAGATCAGGCCAACTCAAAAGCTGGTAGGTGGCCAGGCATGAAATTTCAGTGAGTGAACTGGACTCGGTATCCATCCATGGGGAAGGGTTAGAAGTTGTGGAGGGCACAGCCTGGCTGAAGGGGCGATGGCCACCCCACCCACTGACCGTTGCCTCAAGCAATGAAGACCTGGTGTGACCAGATCTTCTGAAGAAACTGGGGGCTTTATGTGAAATATCTTAATTTTTAAAGGCTGCCTTGCTTTTTATTTCAAAGTTTTTTGTGGGAGCCAGAAATAAAATAAAATAGAATAAAATAAAATAAAATAAAAAATTGCAGACCAGATGTGGCCATATAGACTCTGCCTTGGATATCCTAAAGTCATTTTGAATCATCAGAGAGGTTAAATAAAAAATGCTTATTAAATTTATTGTATTTTGTCATTTGAAAATGTATAATTCACTCTCGATTAACCCTAAAAAAAAACCACCTCACTCCCTCATTTATAAATCCTCACTCCAGGTTTGGACTTCTGCTTTCAGTTTCACAGTTCTCCCCCACCAGGACACCCTGTGGCCGCTGTCCCACGCAGCTATGTAAATCCTGCTAGTTCTTTAAAGCTCGATTTAAATGCTAGCTCCTGCAGAAAACCTACATGATCCTTCTCAAGGCCCCCTTTGCATAAATTATGATGTAACTTCTCCAATGTAAAATATCTGCATATCAGACCTCGTCGCCCTTCAACCCCTAATGGTATAACCCAATAATCCCTATAATTATGGCCACAAAAGCGAAAGGCTTAGAAAGAGTAAGTTCCAATGTTCAACAGCAGAACAGGGTGACAACAGCTAACAACAATGTAATTGTCCATGTCAAAGCAGCTAAAGGAGAGGTTCTTGCAATGTCTCCAACACATAGAAATGATAAGTGTTCAAGGCAATGGAGATCCTACCTACCCTGATTTGATCATTGCACATTCTATGAATGCAACAAAAATATGACATGTACCCTATAAATATATACAGATATTACATCTACATTTGAAAAGCGAAAGGCCCAGAATCAACGAGTGGAGAGTAAAGGCGGCCAGCACTTACCGCCAAACACATCTCCGTTCTGGTAGTTCTTCCCTTTCTGGGCTTCCTCTTCATTTTGAACAGTGGCAACATGCTTGGCGGAGGCACAGCCCATAGTCTCATTCGGTCAGCTTCAGCCGGGCCGGACTGCAAAGCATCTCTACAGACACGGGGACATGTTTTGTTTCTTTAAACACAAAGGAAATCCACCTGGCTGCCGAGTCAGTCGCGACGCGTGCACCTGCGAGAACAGAACGCGAGGTCAGAACGGGCGGCCCCGGCAGGCCCTGCGTGTCGCCGTGTCACTGAGCCGTGCCACCCGCGGCGCGCTAGAACCCACGCCCGGCCCCATGGCGCTGCCGCTGCGGGGGCCACGGAAGAGCCACAGGCAGCGTGGCCCGTCCCCACTTAATCCCCACCCGGAGAGCAAGACTGGAAGGGACAGCCCTGCGTGACACATGGCGGAAGGGTGGACTTTCTGAGGAGACACCAAAAATACATATTTACTTATCTAAATAAATATTTGAGCACTGCCACTTGCCACATACACACACTTAAAGTGCTTGTATGTTTGCGAATGTTCTGGAATCTGCAGGGGATCCTCCCCGTTCAGGAAGCTGAGGAAAGCTCTTCCTCTTCCCCGTGCCGCCCTGCAGGCCGCTGTCCCCGGCTCTCGGGTCTTACCTTCCTCCTCCGACTGAAGCATGGCTAGTGTACACAACATTTTGGCTGAGGTTGTAAATGATTCTATATCATATTTCATGAGAGGTGACATTGTTTTGAAGACAAAGGAGGGAGACGGGACAAGGCCCTAAACTTACTTTCGTGCGTTTTCTGCTTAGCTGGCTAAACGTTGAAAGCACTGAGCAGAAGGTGCGGGAATACAAAGGTAAGCAAACAAAGCAGGTGTCTAACTCTTGGCATAACCTCTGTGCCCGCTGACCTCTCGTAAAGGCTTAAGTGGTATTTGTGGCTATACTGCAAAGGCGATAATCCTCAAGCTGACTGAAGTGAGTTTATCTTCCCCTGCCCCTCCCAAGGAGGCGACCCACATTCCCAGGGTTTGCTATGCTCGACTTGCTCATTTCTGTTTTATTCTTTCATCACTCTTATCCAACCAGTCCAGCCCTGTAGATGACTTACTCCCCTGGTCTTGTAGATGTTGCCTTTGAAACATCTCTCCTGTCCACTCCTTGGTTTCCAACCATCCCACTTTAATACATCCCTTACCTCCTCAGACCCCTGGACAGAGCAAAGGAAGCATCAAGCCTCTTTTCTTTTTGAGATAGAGTCTCACTCTATCATCCCAGCTAGAGTGCAGTGGCATCATCGTAGCTCACAGCAACCTCAAACTCCTGGACTCATGCAAGCAATCCTCCTGCCTCAGCCTCCCGAGTACCTGGGGCTACAGGTGCATGCCACCATGCATGGATAATTTTTCTATTTTTTGTAGAGATAGGGTCTCCCTCTTGCTCAAGCTGGTCCCAAATTCCTGGCCTCACATAATCAATCCTCCTGTCTCAGCCTCCCAAAGTGCTAGCATTGCAGGTGTGAGCCACCACGCCTGGCCCAAGCCTCTTTTAATCTTCATCAGCACCCACATTCCACTGCCCCTAACCTTTATGAACAATTCATGCTTCTCAAGTTTCGTGGACAGTCTACCTCACAGTAGCTGCAAGATTTCTTATCCAACAAGACTGCTGCCCCTAAGCCCTCCTCCTAGGAGCACTAAGGGCTTCTCTGGATGTAGAAATCTAATAATTTAAACCATAACATCTCAGCAGAGAAAAATCTTCAAATTAGTGTAATCAATCTAATAAATGAACTTAGATACAAAAGTAATGACCTTAAATTAAGCCAGGCAAATACAAATTACAATAAATATTGACTTTGACTGTAATATTAGTCATGTCTGTGTAATTTCTCAGACTATTCTATCACTGGTTATATTAAATCATTAATAGGAAGTATGATGTTGGTTGGTAAAGTTTCATAAATCAGGAATTTTTTTCTTAGATGGTTAATGCTTACATCTTTCCTAAACTTTAGGTAACCTCATGTTAACACATTTTCATCTTTTTAATGCTATGTGAAGTCCAGGCCTGTGGACAGATGGACACACACACACACACACACACGTACATACATTGAATCTATGATTTAGCAGTAATGTCTTTAAAGCTACAGTACTTCTGTTTGATGGTCTATTCACACCGGTGCATAGAGCTCAGAGGCCTTTTGGGGGAGAGATACTGAATTTTTTTAATGCACACAATATGGTGTAGCAATGCTATGATAGGGGTTTCACAGGGATCTATGACAATGCAGAATTCAAAACACCAGATTAAATTATAACTGAGCAGAAGCAGGAGTTAAAAGAGGAAGTGGTATTTTTGTTGGGTCTTAAAGGTTTGGTAGGAATTTACCAAACTGAAAGGATAGTAACATCATGCAAGGAAAGCCTGAGCTAAGTGACTAGGATGCAGACGAGTGTGGTATATTGTGTGTGCATTTGCCTCAGAGGGGCCAGGGAAGAGGCCTGGACTGTTGATGCTTTCTGTCGGCCTGGAGAAGGCCTTGCTACCTTTATCCAACTTAATAAAGATAAACTACAAAACATCATGAGAAACAGGCACTCTTTCTGATCCAAGTCTGCACACACTGTAAGCAATATTAAATCAGTAGCATATTTAATAGAAATCCATTCTGACAAGCTTTCATAGTTTTTTGAAGAAACATCACTGAAATATCAGATATGGGAGATAAGAGAAGGGATTCAGCTCTAAAAGTAGGAGAAGAGGAAAAATCCCTCCCTAAGCAGGAGGCTGCTAAGAGTCCTCGCTGTCACTGTTCCTATGGCTGTCTTGCCTTTCCAGTCAGCACTTCCCAGGGGCGGCATCCTGTCCCTCTTGGCCCTCCTCTCCAGCACTGTCACATAAGGTGACAGGTGTGAGCTCCCAGATGTGGATTCCTTACTGCCCAAAAAGGAAGTGTGAGCAAACCACCTCACACTCTCAGGTGCACAGGAGAGCAGACCCAAGTGAAAGGGGGAAGCTGGCCTCCCTGTCTGTTGCCAGCTCTTTGGAATAAATGAAGCAAAAACAGGAAAGAGTGGGGACAATCCTAGCAAAGTCATCGACGCACACTGAGAAATAAGAGACAACTTAACAATCCTCCTCTTTGGGAGTCCTCTCGCTTTTCCAATTTCATGTTTACAGACTTTTGCTATCCAAGAAGTAAATGTAAGAATCTGATGTGAATTATTATCCTCTGCTACCTTTGAGAACCATTTTGTGATGTGTCTTCTGTTTTATTTTTATTTTTTTTTATTTTTTTTTAATTTTTTTATTTTTTTTCTTTTTCCTGAAGAAAATCAGCAGGTATGTCTTCTGTTTTAATAGTTGTGTTTGCATGAAGAAATTTTATTTGAATTTTAAAAGTTGAAATTATATGAGGATTCAATACATTATAGCAGGCTAACAAAAATAAACGTGTAAGAACAATTTTTTTAAGGATGTTCCTGTTATTCAGGCATTAGGGAGGGGGCAGATTAACAAGCAGATTAGATATGATTTATATGCAATTCAAATGTTGACTCAAGAAGTTTCAATTTAATTATGTATATTTAAAAGTACTATTGCTCAATATGAGTTCTCTCCAGATCGTAAGTAGGTCTAGATTTTGTTTTTGAAGCATGCACATTAAATATTTTTATAGCAGTAGTTTAATTTTAAGAGTGATGTTTTCAAGTTTTACAACTTCATCAGCAATATATTTTAATAATTTACCCATCTGAAGGTGATAATTATGAAGACATTTGAGGGGCAGAAGATCTCCAATTCATAAAGTTAATCATTGATCGCTAGGGAAAATTTTTTACTATATCATCTGGATTCTACACATAAACACTAGTCCAATTATTCATTCCTTTAATCAACAGATATTTATTTATAACTACTAGGTGACAGACATGTGTTTGGTAGATATTGAGTGCACAGTGGTAAACTAGACAAGATATGGTTTTCTTCTCTATCCCCATAGAATAGGGGTCCTCAAACTTTTTAAACAGGGGGCCAGTTCACTGTCCCTCAGACCATTGGAGAGTGCGGCGCACATTCCACACATGCGCACTGTGGGCCGGGGACTAGTAGGCTGCTAAGCAGGACAGGCAGTGGCGGCAAAAACACCCGGCGGGCCGGATAAATGTCCTCTGCGGGCCGCATGTGGCCCACGGGCCGTAGTTTGAGGACGCCTGCCACAGAATATGAACAATCAGAGAAGAATAATTAGAAAGACCAGTTTCTTAGCAATGTGTACAGCTTCTGCAGGTTAAATACAATACGACAGGGAGTTCACCTCACAGGCACTTGACTTAGCTTTGGGAAGGGGTGTGTCAAAGAGATGTCAGCTTTGATACCTGACCACAGCTAAAGAAACATCATTAAAACACCCCTGAACTGCAGCTCTCCTATAGCCTGATGTAACGTCAAGGTTTCATTTCGACTGAAAATTCTTTCACTTAACCTCAACCCAGCTGAGACCTCAAACTGAGCAGACCTTCAGATATGTATCCCTAAAGACTGCTAGAATCATCTGCTCAAAAAAGATTCCCTTTGGTTTGTACTATCCTTCACAGGAACTCTAGCGTTTTTTGTTTGTTTTTTTTAACTTCCATTTTTTCCATTAGCTTTGCTCAGCTTTTCTCTCCCAACCCCCACACTCTCTATTCACTCACCTCTCTGAAACCACAGAGCTAAGACAGGCAGGCTTGATGGTGCAAACATGCAACCAAGACCACAACACACAGCAGATCTGAGAGTCCCATTTTCACATATTGTTATTAACAGCGTGCTATTTCTCAAGTCACAGAGCACCGTGTGAAAATTAAACTGAAGCATCCCTTTGATGTTTGATGGAGTCTTCTAAAACTAAGTACCACGGAGGATGATTCTGTTAAATCTAAATGATTTATGTGCTAGGATCATCAGGCACCTCTAAAAACATGGGGCTCAATGACCTGCCTGTGGCTTTGTGTAAAACTCTCCTGAAATGGTTGTATGTCTACATGATCCTGCAGCATGTAATTAGAAAGTATAATCCCTAATGCTGTGAGCTAACCTAATTTAATACCATCTTTTAGGATATTTTTCCACTTTTGATAAAATACATCAACACATGTATTTGTAATTTACATGAATTTGTAAACCCAATTCAAATTCAAAAAAGGATTAGAAAATGTAT